TCTTGACCACTATAATTATACTGCCTCTCAGATGAGATACCTACTCTGTTTCCTGAAATTCTATCCTTATTCATTCATTTCTTTGGTACCATAAGAATCTGTGATCTTTCAGAACTCCATTGGAAAACAGAGTGTCCCCCCAAAGGGAGAATTCCCCAACCCGGTGTAGAGGCTTCTTTCTCCCTAGAATGTTCTAAATACTCTTCCCTATCTGGTGAACTGCTGGCCATTTTCAAGACCTAGCCCAAATGTCACTTTCCCCCACAAGAAGCTTTCCCAGAAACCCTGAAGGGCTATCTCACCATATCTGTGGCCCAGACCTTGTCTGCATTTTACTTTAATTGCTTTGTATACATGTTTATTTTTTGTCACCAGCCTATGACATTCTCAATTGCAGAAACTCTGTTTCAGACATTGTGCTAGGCACCAAAGAGTAGAAAGATAAACAAGAAATGGCCCCTGGCCTCAGAGAGTCCCTAAGCCTTAAATACTTGTTCTTAATGGACACATCTGATATTTAGGACAAGGGCTGGAGAGCTATAAACAAAGGTTATGTGAGCACAGAGGGAAGAACAATTACTCCCAGTTAGAAGGAGGTGACATTTGAGCTAGGATTAAAAGATGAGGAAAATTTCAATGAGAGAATAAATGAATGAATGAATGAAAGAATGAATGAATGCATCCCTTGGGAAAATGAATGATTTGTGTTACTCTTACTGGGCAAGAGGACAAAGATTAGACTTGGAGACAGTACTGACAGCAGCCGCCATTAGCCCTATGCCTTCAGGCAAATCACTTCATTTTCTACACTTCAGTTTATCCATCTGTAAAATTGGAATAATAACCACTCATTTCCCAGGATTTGTTTTAAGAATGAAATAAAATCATGTCCGGAAAAGTGCTTTGTGTAAAATGCTAAGGATGCTTTGTGTAAAAACCGTAAGGATGTTAGGTTTAATGATGCTTCTTAATTCCTCTTGTATATTGTCTCTTAAGAGTTCAATGAGATGAACATTTAAGAGCTTACTCTGTGGCAGGCATTATTCTACGTACTTTCTGGATACCATTTCACTTACCGTCGCGACAACCCTGTAAGGTAGGTATTATTACTGTGGCCATTCTACGGATGTGGAAAAGAAGGCACTGAATGCTTCTCAGTTGTCTTGCCCACGGTCACACAGCTGTTAAATCTTGGGGCCAGATTCAAACTCAGGTGGTACCTGAGAGCCCCTGGTCAGAGCCTAAAGATAATGAAAGACGTCCTCAGTCTGGTCTAGTTGTTATACGTGAAAAATCAGTTGAGAATGGACAGATGTGACAGGGTGACCCTCCTCTGACACACAGAGATCAAGAACCCTCTTCCTTACCTCCGTAAATTGAACATGTGGTTAATCATAAGAACCACAGAGCTTGGATTTTCTTTTCCGGAATATTTTTTGTCCTTTACTGATTAAATGAAACTAAGACATAAAAATTATAGAGATTTCACAGGGTTTTTTTTAAAGATGGAATACGTAAGCCTCGTCCTAGTGAAACCCAACTTAATAAGGTCATTGTTAAAGATACAAAGCCAACAGCTGGATAAATCAGAAAAATGAGGCTCAACTTTCACTGAAATCAAGTGGCATTTATCTGTAGTTTTAAACGGCTCTCTAATGTTTGTATTTCATTGGTATGAGAGTTCCAACAGAACCCTAAAGTGATTACATAGAAAACCAAGGCTTTTTAATAGCTTCTAACTTAGCAAGCCACGGTAATTTAAAAAGGAATGGATGAATTGCTAGAAGCAAGGAGATTTCTGCTGAAGAATACAAATGCATTCTCTGCTATTGCTTCTGCGTCTTTCTGGGGAGAGGCAAAATGCACACAGGCATGTGATGGAACTTTCCAGCTGGTGGTTTTGCATTATCAGGAAGGAAAGTGTTTGTGAAAATGAAAATTACTGATAATTAGTTGTGAATGCCTGTAAGGGAGAGAAAATGGAGAAACGTTGCAGAATATTTATATCAAGGGCTGAACCTCATGGGTGGCAATGTGAATTGGTATAATCTTTTGGAGGGGATTTTAGCAATGTGCAGACCCTTTGACCCAGCAATTCCACTTCTAGGAATCTACTTTATAGCAATATTTGCACATGTACACAAAGGTCTATGAGGATGTTCACTGTAGCATTGTTTGCATGTATGAAAAAAGGAAATAATCTCTATAACCAATATGAAAATGTTTAAACAAATGATGGCATATCCATATTTTAGAAAAATTTGCTGCTAATAGATGGAATGAGATAGATCCATATATTTGAAACAGAAAGATGTCCCTGATATGTCAAGTGAAAAGGGCACACTGCAAAATAGTATCTAGCATATGATTCCATTTTAAAATGTTTTTAATGTTTTTTAATGTTAATATATATGTAGAAAATATCTGGAGGAATAGGTACCGAAGATTATCAGTGGCTATCTCTGGGGGATGGCCAGAGATATTTTTGTAATGTTTACACTTTTTGAGCATAGATTACTTTTATAAAGAGAGGAGAAAAAAACAAAACAAAAGTTGAGTTATTTCCTCAAGGGAAGAACGAAAGAAACATGGCTAGTAGAGCTCTATTCACTATATTTAGGCGAAAGGTTTTACTGTAATTCTGCAATTCTGTAATTTCAGATTCTGGCAATCTGGGCAAGGGTGTTATTCGGTCCAAATGAACCCAGATGACTGTGCTCACATTGGGAGAACGCGACACAGTCCTTATTCTGGTCTCTAGGTTGTCCCTTTGGCTATTGCTGCTTCTCCTCAGCCTTGGCTGACAAATTAGAAGCAGCTGATTTTCTTTTTCCTTCTCTTGCCTCCCAGGCCGGCCATCTTAGACGGCGCTAAAACATGGTGGTAAAGAGCTTGGCCTTTGGAGTTCCAGAGCCTTGGGTTCAAATCCCGATTTCGCCACTCTCCTAACTGTGTGACTTGGAGAAATTTGCTTCTCCTGTCAGGTCCTCTGTTTCCTCATGTGAAAAATGAGGATTTTAGAGAACCTGCCTAGTAGGGTCTTTGGAATGATGAAAAGAGCTAAGTATTGAAAGTGTTTGGAAATTTATCTTGTTGAGCACTGAGTAATATATGGAACTGCTGAATCACTATGATGTGCACCTGAAACTAATATAGCACTGTATGTTAACTACACTGGAATTAAAATTAAAAAAAAAGAAAGCGCTGGTAATAATAAATGTATAAACAAATATCACCTATTATTATTGTCGTCTTGCCCTATCAATTCTCTCTTGGTAGAATTTCTTCCATCTATCTTCTGCCTGATAAACTCCTACCCATTTCTCAAGCCCTGGCTCAGATGCTATCCCTGCAAAACCTCCTTTGATCTCTCCCCGCACACCCAGAACTAATTAACACTCCCTTATCAGAGCTCCTGCGGAGTGCTGGGCACCCCAGCTTCATTACTGCATGTGATGTTCTGGGTTTGCTTGTCTGTCTCCTTTACAGACCCTGACCTCCTACAAGGCATCAGCCCTGGTCTAGCCATCTAAATCCTCAGCACTTACCTCTTGTTCGGGGCTCAGAGGTTGAATTCACATAATCTTTTTTCAAATTGAATTAATCCCCTCCCTGCCTCTATCACCCAAGGCCAGGTATCTTTAGTTCCTGGTGAAACTATGGTAACAGCATCCTAACGGCTCTCCCTCCCAATCCAGGCTGATGTTCCGCCCTGGGTTTTAGCTCCACTTTTGCCACAGGCTACTGTGATCTAAGCACACTGCTTTCTCTCTAACAGTTAGCTTCCTTATCTGTAAAATGGAGACAAACCTTCCTCCCACCCGGTAGTGGAGGGGACTCAAGGAAAACTACACGTGAAGGGCATCCACATAACCCAAATTTAGCTATTGCTACTTCTGCTTTTTGCCTACTTGTTTACTTTGGAGAGGGGAGGGGGAGGGGCAGAGGGAGAGAGAGAGAGAATCTGAATCCCAGTGCGGGGCCAATAGGGGGCTGGATCTCAAGACCCTGAGGTCGTGATCTGAGCCGAAATCAAGAGTCGGCTACTTAACTGCCTGAGCCACCCAGGCACCCCGCTATTTCTGCTTTTTGAAAGGCAGTGTCCATCAGGGAAGAAGAAAAGGGTACCTGAAAAGTCTCTGTCCCGGAAGTTAAAGTACATCCTGTGATTTTGAACAAGTTTCTCTAGTTATACATCAACAGGTGAGCTCTTTCACGGGGTCCTGTTTCCTCCAGAAATTGCATTTGATGTGCCCTTCTGTGAGACCAGTCCCAGAGGCAAAGTGGCAAAGATTCCTCTCCACCCTTAGAATTAAATACAAATCTCAGAGAACATTGGTGCAGTCTTTTACCATTCATGGAACACTTTCATGTCCATCATTGGATTTGAAAAGGGCTTTCGGGGGGAAAAAAAATCACAGCCAAATCTTAACAGTGGTAATTTCTGGATGGTGGAATTGGGCATGATTTTAATTTTGTGTGTGTTTTCCTAAACCTTCAAAATCTTCGATTTTGGGGCTGGATGGAAATGATGGTTGTACGACATTGTGAATGCACTAAATGCCCCTGAATTACACATAAAGTGTACGATTTTATGTTAGCTTTGTGGATTTCACCTCATTAAAAAATGTTCTGCAATACACATGCATGATTTTATAGCCATTTACTGAAATGTGTTTGAGTCGAGAACAAAAACGGATTCTTAAGGCTCAAAACCAGTTCAGTTAGCTGACACTCTCCGCACCCATGTCTCCAAGTTACTGGTCCGGGCGGCCAGCCTGCAGCGCGCTCCTCCGACCGCCAGGGGTCTCCACGGAGCCCTCGCGTCCCCACCCGCGGAGGAGCGTCTTCTCTTGCGCCTTTGAAGCGCGTATGCACGCGAGAGGCGTGGTCGGGACTGCCCGCTCGGCTCGCGCGGCTGCCGGCCACCTGGGCCTTGACCCTGCGCTTCTCAGGCTTCCGTGGGCCCTGGCCTGTGGTCCGAGTTACCACCCGTCCTTCCAGTTCCCACCTCCGGCTGCAGCCTTCTGCTGTCCGGGCCGGTCCCCGACTTCCATCTCCCCACCCTTAACCGGCTGCCCCAATATCGGTTCCCCGGCCCGCTGTCCTCTGCCCTGCCCTGCTCCGCCAAGGGTCCCTGTCTCTGAGCCTCAGCCCCATGGCGCTGCAGGCGCTGCAGAGCTCGGGGGTGGCCTTCCGCAAGATCCTGTCTCATTTCCCCGAGGAGCTGAGCCTGGCTTTCGCCTACGGCTCCGGGGTGTACCGCCAGGTGGGGCCCAGTTCAGACCAGAAGGTGAGCCTGGCCCCGAGGCAGGCCCCACGCCGGGAATCAGCCTGTTCTCACGACGTCCCTTTTGCCTTGGATCCCTCCAGAGCCCTAGAGCAGCTCCTCTACTCTGCGCACTGCACTTATCAACTAGCAAAATACAAACCGTAGGAAGGTGTTCCTCGTATAATAACATCATGAGCTGATTTGAAGGATAAGTAGGAGCCCACTTCGGTCTAGAACAGGAGATGCAATTATGCGGAGGGCAAAGCTGATGGCAGAGGCAAGATGGAAGACAGGAAATATTTGCCTGGTGCTGGTTCAGTGTGCTCAGCCTTGGCTGAACATTGGCGTTTTGTGAGAAACTTAAAAATGCTAATGCCTGGGTTCCACTTGCAGAGATTCTGATTTACTTGGTCTGGGATGAGACTTGGGCTTCGGGAATTTTAAAAACTTCCCTGGTGATTCTAATGCGCAGCCAAATTTGAGTCTCATCTACAGCTGTGGGAGAAAGTAGGCAATGATGCTCTTGACTTCAGGAAGCTGAGGGATAGTTGTAGGGCCAGGGCAGATGCAGTGAAGTTACCTACGAAAGTTAATGGCTGACCAGTATATTTACATGCTCAGGACATTTAACAAGAGTCTATTTAGGACCAGAAGTTGTTACTCTTCAAAGTTGCCTGACTGCAACAGCAGTGAGGGTACAGTTTGCCTTATGATTACAGACTTTTTTTCCTGTAAAGGAAAAAAGTTTGCTTCCAAGGTGGAAACAAGATTCAAGACCTAGAGCAGTGGAGTGGCAGGCAGATATTTTCATTTAAATGAGGCTGTTACAGACTTTCTCCACTAAGGCTTTAGAGCTTTTGCTAAATTAACAAAAAAGCAAGAGTCTAAATAGAGATGTTTTCTGGTGAACCGTATTTTTACTTGCTGTAGTTCATGCACAGCCTACCAGTTCATTGTCATCTTAGTTTATTAAACTAAGGAAATGATTGCGATAGGGCCTGCTGGATTTGGACACCTGACTGTAATCTGTTTTTAGGTTAAAGTTTGCCTGTTCCCTTCCTGGTAAGGCCGTCTGTACTGTTGCTTGGATTTCTGTTTCCCAACTATACTGTGTTTAAGTAATACTTTGCTTTAAGTTGACAACATGTGAGAAATTATAGATGGTGGGTATATAAGAAATTACAGATTTTTATAGGCTAGTTATTTTTTCTAACATACGTTAACATAATTATACATTTTTAAAAAACATGTCCACCCCAAATCTTAAGTTTCACCAGTGGTTTGTGGTTTTTGAGAAACTTAAAGCAGGCCTTAGCCTCCTGATTCAATAGCCACCTCTTCATTTTTCCATGGAGATTTCCTCTGAGTAGGCCTGCCAGGAACCCTTCCCTTTCCCTTGCCGTCATTCCCTACGAGATAACAAGTCTTACAGATTCCAGCACGAAGTCTCAGATCAGTCCCTACCCTCAGTGCTTCACTTAATGTCTTTTCATTTCTCACCTGAAGTTTTGGTGTTAGCCTCCTGTGTGGTTCCCCACCTTTAATCATCCTTCCCTCCAGTGAGTGCTTCTGCAGGAAAATTTTTTAGCATGGCAACCCAGCCTCCCTTTCTGGACTCCGTTGCTTGTGTTCTGTTCCAGCATATCAAACTAAATGCAGCATCCAGAACATGCCTAGCTCTTATGTCCACAAGAGTGCTTTCCTTTAGCAAGACTCCCTTCCCTTCCCCCTATACTTCCACCAAGCCTGCTTAACTCTTGTACATTCTTCAAGACTCAGATTTATCAGATAAAAGAATGTAATTTCCTAGCAAAATTTCTCATTTCTGTTCTGACCCTATTCTGAGTGAAATTAGTACATTTTGCATTCCTCTATCAAGTTCATTTAGTGATAATTTCTCTATTCTCCCCAGTAGACTTTCTTTACCCCTATTCCGGGATCTATCAGAGCTCCTTGTAGGTGCTCAGTGAGTGGTTGGAGAATGGGTAAGAGTTAAAATAACTTATTTCCTGTGACATAATACTTTTCAGAGCTTATCCATCTTGTGTTATTTGAGCTGGAAGAAAAGTGGAACACATTTAGCTACATTTAGATGAAAGCCATGTAGCATAAGGTTCAGCACTCAGAATTTGGAACCAGACTCTGTCTGCCACTGACTAGCTTTGTGTCCATGGGCATGGTTCTTACTCTGTGCCTTGGTTTCCTTTCCTATAAAATTGGGATAGTAACAGTACCTACCTTGTAGGATTGTTCTGAGGATAGAATGAACCACGATACATATAAAATATTTGGAAGAGTGCCGGCAGGACAATACATGTGGAGGAAGCATTGTTACTGCTATGCGTGTTGATGAAAACAACCTCAGACTTGTTCCAGAGACTTGCTTAAATTTCTGATGACAGCTCAGGTCCTCTATTTCTTAATCATAATGGCATAGAATTTTAGAGCTTTCCACTCTATCTAGATGCCTTTTGAGGAATTAAAACTAAAATCATTCTCTTTTCTTCATTCCCAGAATGCCATGCTGGACTTTGTTTTCACAGTAGATGACCCTGTTGCATGGCATTCAAAGAACCTGAAAAAAAATTGGAACCATTACTCTTTCCTAAAAGTTTTGGGGCCCAAGATTATCACCACTATCCAGAATAACTATGGTGCTGGAGTCTACTATAATCCATTGGTCATGTGTGATGGTAGGGTAAGTGACTTTGGATGTTTGTCTTAACTTGGGCGGTTATTAAATATTAGAATACCAGCTGACTATATGTTCTTGCAGTCAGGAAACGTTCACATTCCTGCTGTATAAAGGTGATTGAGAAAGACTATCTTTAATTATTGCCTTTGGCCAGTGCTTCTCAAATTTGAGTGAGCATCAGACCTCCTAGAGGGCCTCTTGGACACACAGATTGCTAGGCCCCACCCCAGAGTTTCTGATTCCATAGGTCTGGGGTGAGGTTTGAGGATTTTTTTTTTTAATTGAGATATAATTATATAACATTGTGTTAGTTTTAGGTGTACAGTGTAATGATTTGATGTATGTATGTATTGCAAGATGATTACCACCACAATAAGTTTAGTTAACATTCATCATCACACATAGTTACAGGTTTTTTTTCCTTGTGATGAGAACTTTTTAAGATTTACTCCCTTAGTAACAAGGATTTGCATTTCTAACAGCTTCCAAATCATGCTGATGCTGCTGGTCTGGAAAACACGCTTTGAGAACTGCTGGTTTGGTCAGTGGGACGATTACTCAGGCCCACTAAGGATGAGGGTATCACAGGTAGTCAAGAGCATGTGATGCCACGCGATAGGAACCTCTTGGTGCCAGCAAGTGGGTAGAATTTGAGGATGCACCCCATCTCCCTGTTGGAGAGCAGATAAGAAGCACAGATCGCAGCCGAGGGCTGGCTGACGGCAGGAACCCTGCCGAACTTTCACATGAAGGGGCCCAATCTCTAAGAGAGCTGCCAAGAACTGGGCAGGACTGCAGCCTAAGAGGACCAATGGGGGACTAAGTCGTATACCCCCTAGAGATGAGCTGGGCTGCCATTGACAGACGGGTTCCAGCAGCTCTGCCAGTTCTGCTCTGTGCTGCTGATGGCTTTGAGAAGTGTTACTTTGATATGCTGATGAGTCACCTGAGGATCTCATTGAAATACAGATGACGATTCAATTGGTCTGGAATGGAGCTTGAGATTTTGCATTTTTTGATGAGCTCCCAGGTGATGCTGATACTACCGGTCAATGAACCAGGCTTGGAAGGGCAGGAGGTTGGAGTACTGACTTAGGAAGGATTTTGAAGACCTGTCTGAACTTGGCAGGAATGAGTACTGTGATTGATTGGTGATGTCTGTATAGCCTTTGGGCCAAATGTTTACTTTTCTGGTTGAGGTCTAGTCCTGCTCCAACCTGCATTTTGCAGTTGAGGAAATGAGGATTCAAGAGAATGGACATGACTTCCAGAAGGTCATGTAACTAGTTATAAAATGAGAGGCCTCTCCAGGGGGCCAGAGGTGTTTCCATTACTTCCCAGCTGTTATATGCCTGCCTTAAGAAGGGCTTTCTGCTCTACTGTGTCCAGATTGGAGGGAAGATGGTGGCTCAGTGCAGTTTTCCACATCTACTTTAGTCATGCCAAACACGTAGCTTTGTTCTTTCTCCATAATTAGTATTATGCTGAGCCTATCTCTAATTAGTGGTTTCAAACAATATTACAAGCTCCAGTAACCAAATGTTGGGGCATAATTATATGCCAAAGGGACTGTACTTTTTAATTGAAATTCTTTAGCTACTTTTTAGATATTTGTAGCCTGAGAAGGCTGTTTGGATACTGAAGTTTAGCAAAGTGAGTCTGAAGTTATTTGTTGAAGCAAATGAGATTCTGTAACCTGGAACAACTACATTCAAGGTTTGTACAAATTGCTTTTGAAATGAGCTTGGCCATAATTCCATGTGTTTAGCTCTGATAAAGATGTTTAATTCTTGGATGTGGCTTTGTAATTATAAAAGTGTTGGAAATACTTAAAGAGAAATTCACCATAAAAGATGTTCTACTTAAAGAAAATGTCTTGTACTCTGTGATGAAATGAACATTGGAAGCCCAGACCGACATTCAGGGACCCGGTTTTTACTCAGTTATTAATGGTACCACCTTGGGCACGCCATTTATTAGGCTTATTTCTCAAATGAGAAGTATGAACTGTATCTTCGCTTCTCAAACTGTCTCTGGTCCAGACCCAGTTTTTATTTCCCACTCAGTGAGGACCAGTATGTGCTAGATAGCCTCTAAGAGCCGTTGTGCCTTTAACATCACAAGAGCCTGAGTGAAGACAGTGATCACTTGAACTCGCATCCCTGAGGGGACAGATCAGTCTTGGGAAACTAATCCTTTGTGAAAGATTTTGGTGGAGATGTGTGTTTTCACAAGGCAGAGATTTTAAGTGGCTTTGGAGATCAAGCTATTCTGGTCAGAAATTTTTTTCCTTATGTTTTGCATTTGCAAAAGCAACAGTGTGGTATTTTGCTCTCTTTCATGCCCATATCTTTTCTTTTCTAGCTTATCAAATATGGGGTCATTAGCACTAACATTTTGATTGAAGATCTCCTCAGCTGGAATAACTTATATGTTGCTGGACGACTCCAGAAACCGGTGAGCAAGTGTCTTATTGGCTGCCACAGTTAGGGATGTCTCTCCTCTCTGAACCGCACCCTACTTTGATCCGTGTGATTGCAATGAGATGGAACTCCAAGAAACAGAAATGAATTTCAGACTCCTTTTACTCCCTATAGAATTTAGTGCCAAACAATATCCAGATATTACCCACGCTACTCCTGCCTTCTCTCTAAAGATACTCGAATTGTGGAATGGAGAAGGCTCAGAGTCACTGCATTTGGCCCTGGGAGGATGGCAGAAGAGGTGCCCAGTGCCTCAGTGGAACCTCTATCAGCATGACCCAGATCACCGTTCCAGAATGTAAGTGCCGTGGTGCACTTTTTGTCAGCAGTGCCTGGGACAGTGCCTGGGATATAGTAAGCATTCAGAAAACATTTGTTGAATAAGTAAATGAATCAGGTAGTCATTCAGAAGGGAGTAGATTCTGATTCCCTTTCTTACCATCCTCAGGCCAGTGGTGAGATCCTGTTATAAAGTCTTTCCTTCATTTAGGATGCTGCTAGAGGAGGCTCTGGGGGATAGGCTTCCCCCTGAGTGTTTTTTTTTTTTTTTTAAGATTTTATTTGTTTATTTGAGAGAGAGAGAAAGAGAGCACGAGAGGGAAGAGGGTCAGAGGGAGAAGCAGACTCCCCGCCAAGCAGGGAGCCCGATGCGGGACTCGATCCCGGGACTCCAGGATCATGACCTGAGCCGAAGGCAGTAGCCCAACCAACTGAGCCACCCAGGCGCCCCCCCCCCGAGTTTTAATAGAAACAAAACAGGAAAAAAGTGGAAAGGACTTGAACTTTTTTTTTAAAGATTTATTTATTATTTTAGCGAGAGAGAGAGAGAGAGAGAGAGAGTGCACAGGGGGAGGAGTGGAGAGGGAGAGAGAGAATCTCAAGCAGACTCCCTGCTGAGCACAGAGTCTAACTCGGGACTCCATGAAACAACCCTGAGATCATGACCCAAGCCGAAATCAAGGGGATGACCAACCGACTGAGCCACCCAGGCTCCCCAGAGGACTTGAACTTTTTTTTTTTTTTAAAGATTTTATTTATTTATTTGACAGAGAGACACAGCGAGAGAGGGAACACAAGCAGGGGGAGTGGGAGAGGGAGAAGCAGGCTTCCCGCCAAGCAGGGAGCCCAACACGGGGCTCAGTCCCAGGACCCTGGGATCATGACCTGAGCCGAAGGCAGACACTTAACGACTGAGCCACCCAGGTGCCCCAGGACTTGAACTTTTGACATTGTATTTGCATATTATGTTTCTTCTTTTTTGCAGATATATATAGCCTATTTTCTATGAAGGAGTCTTCATAGTTTAAGAACTATGCGAAATAGTAACAGTTGCTAATCTCACAGCAGGGAACAATTTTCTTTGTGCTGTTAGAGGGTCTCAGGCCCCAAAACAGGGTACATGGATTGTTCTCAAATGTCTCCCATAAGAGTGATTCTGCTGCTCCCCTTTTTGTCAGTTATGGCAAAAAATTAAGAGATTTATACAAGCTTACCTCACTTGGTTGTGTCATAAAAATCTCTATTGAGCAGCACGTGGGTGGCTCAGTCGGTTAAGCATCTAACTCTTAATTTCAGCTTAGGTCATGATCTCAGGGTCGTGAGATGGAGCCCTGCCTCAGGCTCTGTGCTGGGTGTGGAGCCTGCTTAAGATTCTCTCTCCTTCTCCTCTGTCCCTCCCCCCACCCAAATCTCTGTTGATATACATGGGTGGTCACAATTCTCTTGCCTTGCTTCTGGACTTCGAATTTAATGGTGTAGCTCATTAAAACATCCAGAAACACTTGATCAGAGCAATAGGTATATGGGTATGTCCATATATAAAAATTTGTCAAGCTGTACCCTTTAGATTTGTGCATTTCACTATGTAATTTTTACTTCAGTAAAACATTTTTTAAAAAGATTTATTTGAGAGAGAGAGAATGTGTGTGCACATGTGTGCGCAAGCGGGAAGGGGGGCAGAGGGAGAGGTGGAGAGAGAATTCTGGAGCAGACTTCCCACTGAGTGTGGAGCCTGACTTGAGGCTCTATCCCAGGACCCTTAGATCATGACCTGAGCCAGAATCAAGAGTTGGCCACTCAGCTGACTGAGCCACTCAGGCACCCCAGTAAAACATTTTTTATTAAGTCCAGAAACAATAGGCTTACTGAAATAATTTCATATTTATGTAGATGAATTTCTCATTTCTAAGCTGGATAAAGGTAATCCAGTAAAGCTGGATAATTAGTAAAATAATTGAATGAATAGAAATAATTGAAAATTTGTAAATATTAATTTTCCTTCCAAATTTTTTTCTTTCTTTTTTTTTTTAGTTTATAAAATATGGGGGCACCCGGCTAGCTCAGTCAGTGGAGCATGCAACTCTCGATCTCGGGGTTGTGAGTTCAAGCCCCATGATGTAGAGATGATTTAAAAACATAAAAAAGATTTAAAAATAAAATAAATTTACAAAATATGTAGCTTAATGGGAATAGTAATGAAAGTGGAATTAGAAGCCTTAGGTCTTATTCATTCCTGCCACTTGTTAGCTGTTTATGTGAATTTAGGAAACTTGTTTTATCTTTTTGAACCTCAGTTAATTTATCTGTAGGATGGAGTAACAATACAGTACTTGCCCTCACAAAGGTGTTGACAAGTGGAAGCAGAATGATAAAGCCGGAAAGAGCAGGGGTGTCTTAGAATCAGATGTAGGGTTTGGGTCCCAGCTATGACACTCCCCAGCTATGTGACCCTGCACCAGTGACTTAATTTCCCTGAGCCTTGGGACATCCTTCTCTGTGGATTAGGCTGATGACATCAACCTTAAAAGGCATTTGGGAAATGCCTAGATCTAAAATGCCTGGCACTTAGTAGATACTCAGGAAATGATCATTCCTTTCTGTTTGTCCTTGCCTATCTCAGAGTTATTTTGAGATAAAATGAGATTTTTAATGTGAAAATGTTGTATTATTCTCTGTACTATGCTTTGTGCTTGGAATATTTCAATTTTTTTCTTTTAAATAAGCTTTAGAAAATGAAATGCCCTGAAATCTCAGAATTTAGCACGGAAATGACCTCAGATTTCATCTAAATGTCACATATCCTGATAAAATAAAAACAGCAATTCGAGACCAGTAGTAGCTGCTACAGTCATCTTGATAAAAACTGCATTTCTCAGCTAACTTGGAAAAGAAAATGTTATTGAGAACAATGACTGTTCTTCAAGCTTATTAAACTAATAACTCAAGAAAATTAGGCTATCTTAAGACTTATTTGAAAGTGTTGAGCGTAACACATGGTAAAAAATTATAAATGGGTGAATTAACTCACCATTAGCATTTTCCCTGTCACATGGAAATCACTGCTAATCAGAGAACTGTCAGTGGTAATGATCTTTTTAAAACCAGTGATTTTTACCGCTAGGTGGCAGCAAATAGTAATCAAACGTGAACAAACCTGATGAAAAGACAGGGTTGGTAGCCTTGTGGACAAAAAAAAAAATAGGTGAAGGTCTTAGAATTGTGAGAATATGAGTACAAATTCTTTGTTTTTATATATTTTAAAAGAAGGAGGTATTTTAAATTATATTGTCTAAAGCTCTAAAATTATCTTCCATATTGCAAATAGAACAGAATTTCTCAATTCAAGTCTTTAAAAGGAATATACAGAGGGTGTATGGGAACTCTCTGTATTTTCCAGTCAGTTTTGCTATGACTCTAAAACTGCTCTAAAAAAATAAGTTTATTAATAATATTTTCAAAATATAAAGGAGTACCTTGCTTAAAAAGATGGACTTTCTGGAAAAAAAAATTGAGTGTAAATTAAATTTCTATCATACTTTACCATTAACTTACCCCGTAACTGAGGTTAGATAAGTCATTTTTATTTCTAGTGCAGCTTTAAGTTTCTGAGTCACTTACCAAGTTATTTTTCAAGAAAAGAGCCATGAAATTTAAAGTAGTTAATAGAATCTTGTGGCCAGTTTTTTTTTAAGTCAAAAGAACCCTAAAGTAATATTAATAGTCATTTCCCTAATTTATTTAACAGAAGTCTGGATTTTTGTATTTCATGTTGTTTTTAGTGTATAGATAATTTGGCTTGAATTTGTAAGGCATTCTCATTGACATCCAATAGTATTTTGCTACCTTGTTAAGAGGATTTTAATTTATTTTAATGTGTTCATTCCAATATTTTTTCTTTTATTTTCTAGTAATATAGCTTTTTTATAACATGTTATTGAGATAGAATTCACATATCATACAATTCAACCATTTAAAGTGTACAGTGGTTTTTAGTATATTCACAGTTTTGCAATTATTATCATATAATAACTTCATTGATTTACTTTTTGTGGCTAGAAAAATCCCAGTGGTATTATAGATCCCTGAAAGAGAGCTGGAAGACCTGACTTACTGGTCTTGGCTCTGCCCGGCTATGAGCAAATGTTTGTGCCCCTAGCCTTTGAAATGCAAAATTTGAGCCATTAATTTACTTATTCAAGAGACAAGTTTCTTCTCTGTGGATGCTAAAGGAATAAAAAAATAACACCACATTGTTGGCCCGGGAAGAACCCACAGTCCAACAGGTAGATGATAAGGTTTCATCCAACTCGAATGTTCAGTGTTTCTTCTTGGTCCTCAAGCAGTGACCATTTAGAAAAATTAACTTTTCTGGCCATTTGGAATGGAAAACTGTGGGAAGTGCCATTTGGTTACTGGTTGAGTGTTTGAAGGCTAGGTAGGGCCTTGTTCTTTGTGACTATAACTTCACTGTTTGCAATTCAAGGACTGTCTCCATGTGACTGTATTATAGAGGAGACCACATGTGACTCTTTTTTTTCTATCTTGAAAGGTACTCACAAATCTCTCAAGTTGAAAGTCCCTTCAAGCTTTACCCCTTCCTCTCTCCAGTAACGATCTTCCCCTTGGCAGTAGTGTTAATGCTATCTATGCGGTTCAGGTCGGGGCATTCCCAGTCAGATACAAACAGCTATTCACAAATCTGAGGACTTTCTTTTTTTTCCCAGGCCTCTCTGGCAGTGTCCCAAGAGTTCACTGGCTTTTCACTCTGAACCACAAATAACAGTGCTGCTGAGACAAGTGCCTAGGTCACCTTACACTGGAGAGCCAAATCAGCACAGTTTCAGTCTTCTGAATTCACATTTTTCCTTTAAGTAAGGATGCTTTTATTTTTACTCTCTTAACCTTAAATAGCAAACAGACTGCTTTTTTACAACCTAAATAGAATGACTTTCTGGGAGAATAAGTGTATTGCTTTAAATAAGAAAATTTCCCCAAACTTACTCTCATTTGTTAGCATCTCAGAATAACTTCTGTTTTCATTGCGCTTCTGTAAAAGCCACCAAAAAGAGAGAGGACGAAGAATTATTGAGCAGGACCTGGTTGAGGATGAAGAACAGGAATTTGGAAGTAAACAGGCTTCGTAGGGTGGTAGAAAGAGCTCTGGATAAATCCGGGACCGACTACTGGTGTGCCACTACTTCTCAAGGGAAGATCTTTTAACCCTCTAACCCTCTAACCCTCTGGGCCTCAGTTTCCACATTAGATGAGAAGGTTGCCCTCCTAGATCTGTGATTCTATATGGAATACAAAGTTTGGGAAAGTTATTCAAGGAATGAACATAGGAGTCATATAGGAACTTCACATTTCTTTTAATCATCTTTCAAGATAAGAAGTTAACCAGAATAACAATAACAAAAAAGTTAACCAGAACAGATCCCTAACTGAATGCATGAGAATAATTCAAAAAATTTAGAGCTGGATCTGCCAAGTATAAGGGTGTTACCCTGATTTTTGCCATCAACTCATTATGCAACATTGGGCAAGTCATGCTACTGGACTGCACCGTCGTTTTCCTTTCTGCAGATGATTGCAATAATGCTAAACTCACCCAAGTGCTGAAAGGCTTAATTAAGGGCTATTAAGTGCTGTAATTACAAGGGAGGAGTTGGTAGTATTGAGTAAAGTGGCTTACCTACCATATAAGAGGTTTGGGTATTATAAATATTCCCTTAGAAAAAAAGTAGGGACAAAAGGTAGAAGATAGACTCTTAATAAAATAGTTATGTTTTATACTGTCATTTTGGACAACTAAAAAAAGAAGAAACTACTTCGAGACATACATCAGCCTTTCTCCTTACTGTCTAATAAAATTCTAATTTAGTTTCTGATAGTGTATGCCTTTTATTTAGTTTTTTGATAGTGTATGTCTTTTAGTGCCATCTTAATTTTTCTCAGAAATCATCTTTATTTGACAGATAAAAGGCAACTTAAGCCCTGTTTTCTAGAATTGGGGAAGATTTGGTGACAGCACTAAATGGTTTACAGAAGATGGATACATTTCAGATAGGTGAGGGTCCTTTTTAGGGATTTGTAGACTCTTTCCTTTTTTATAGACAGTCAGTCAGAAGCAACCTGACTGATACAAAGCCTGATTAAGCCTGATGGTTTAAAAAGATTATACCGAAAAAATAAATAAATAAATAAATAAATAAATAAATAAATAAATAAAAAATAAAAAGATTATACCGGGAGTGTAAATTGGCCCAACCACTCTGAAGAGCCATTTGGCATTTCTACTTCTAAGTATATACCTGAGAGCCATGGTTCTCAAAATGTGGTTCCTGGACCACCTGGGAACTTGTTACAAATGTACATTTTCAGGCCTGACTCAGGTCTCCTAATCAGAAATACTGGGGGATGGGCCTAATAATATGCATTTTAACAAGCTCTCCCAAGTGACTGTGGTGCTTGCTCAAGGTGGGAATCTCTGGCCCAGGGATGCTCTTGTATTGCGCCCAAAGACAGAGAAGGAAGCTCACTTCAACTAAGGGTTCGTATGCAATATCTCATTTAATCTAACCAACAACCTTATCAATTTGATTCTGTTATTAACCCCATTTTACTGATAAGGAATTATGGCCATAGTCACAGAGCTAGTAAGAGACGGAGCTGGGTCTTGAACACATTTTCTTAACTACAGTGCAGTCTTCAAAACAGTCTCAGAACAGACTGGAGCAATTTGTATTTTAATGGATTTGAGGAAAGTTAAAGAGAGTACCTTCTGCTGTGTATTCAGGAGAAAAATCCTTTTTTATTGATCAAGGCATTCACTAGTACATTAGGTGCTTTACATTTATTATTTCATTCAATCTTTGAAACAATTCTTTGATGCACATTTATCACCATTTTATAGATGAGGACTTAAGTTCAGAGAAGTTAAGTAATTTGCCCAATTTCACACAGCTAGTAAATACCTAGACCTGAGACCATACCTACCCCCAAACCCATGCTGTTTCTACTGTAGCTAATTTTCTTTCCTTTTTTCCTTAGTCAGGTTCAAAATCAGTTCAAAATAAAGCATGAAGTGCTTAGGTTATATATGGATAAGAACAGAGGTGAGTTCTAAATAAAGAAGTAAAATGCCTTTGTCTACCATAAAATTAAGTAAATAACAATGAGATTATAAAATTTAAAAATACAAAATTTCCCAAAGGATGTTTATTTCATTTATACTGACTTCTTTTTTAAAACCCATGGAGAATTTCCTCATTTAAGAGAAATACTTATTTTGTTTTCTTTCCTGTATCATATCTTTAATTCTGGCATAAAACACAAACCCTTGGGATTGCTTATTAGAATAATAATTATTGTGTGTCTACTGGCCTAATATTCCAAGATCTTCAGGGCTAAGGGTTTGGGATAGTTCCAGTGCATGTGTAAACCCATAGCTTGACCAATAGTCCACTTTGACATTTTTCTTCTAAATGTTCTGCTTTTTTGCAGGTGAAAATCATAGCAATGAATGAAAATGTTGCTCTTAGGTCAGCCCTCGATAAAAATCTGAAGAGTGCTGTGACCACAGCTTTCCTCATGCTCCCCGAAAGCTTTTCTGAAGAAGACCTCTTTATAGAGATCGCCAGACTGTCTTATTCAGGTTAGTAGATTTGGGCTCACGTTTTCTGCAGGAAGGAGATACGTTATTTGAAGAACATGCAAACAGACATCCTGCTCCTCACTCTGCACTGGAGCTGCGGCCCCCCTGCTCCTGGATCCCACCACTTCCTGTGCAGGTGACTGCAAGAACCCCATGATCTGCCTCCTTGCCTCCAAGGGCTCTTTCTGTCCGCATCTGTATATAGATCTCCCCAGGGTAGTATTGTTGTTGTTACTATTCATTTGCATTTTGAAACAATTTCAAACTGACAGAAAAGTTTCAATAATACAAAAAATTCTCATATGCCCTTTCCCTGACTTTGCCAGTTTTAATGTTTCACCACATTTGTGTTATCATCCTCTTTGTGTCCCGGTGATTTTCCAACTTGAGTGTGCATCAGAATCCCCTGGAAGTACTGGGCGCACCCCCACACAGCTGCTCTGGCAGGTCTGGGGTGGAGCCTAAGAATTTGTGTTTCTAGCAAGTGCATGATGCCAGTGCTCCTCCAGGGATCCCACTTAGAAAACCACTGCCCTCTCTGTACCTGTAAATACTGTATTATGTATTTTATTTTTCTGAACTATTTGAGAGTAGCTCACACATATCCTGGCCCTTCAGGCCACATATTTCCAATATATGTTCCCCAAGAACAAGGACATTCTCTCCATAACCACAGCACAGTTACCAAATTCAGGAAATTTCACACTGATACAGTACTTTTTTTTTTTTTTTTAGGATTTTATTTATTTGACAGAACACAAGCAGAAGGAGAGAGGAGAAGCAGGTTCCCAGCTGAGCAAGGAGCCCCATGTGGGACTCGATCCCAGGACTCTGGGATCATGACCTGGGCCGAAGTCGGCCGCTTAACCGACTGAGCCACCCAGGCGTCCCGATACAGTACTTTTATCAGATTGATGATCCATAGTCCATATGTCGTCAGTAGTCCCAGTGATGTTCTTTCTCCCTCAAGTACACAGTCTAGTCAAGGATCATATTTATTAAGATGCCCTGTCTCTTCTATCTTTTAATCTGGAACACTTCCTTAGCCTTTCTAGGTCTTACATGACATTCACATTTTGTAGTCTCAGACCGGTGATGTGTGTGCCTGATAAGCAGAGTTTTGCCTCTTCTAAGCAACCAGTGGGGAGACATTTGAAAATGAAGCAAATCCCCTGCTTCTTATCAAACTTTCCCTTTTAGATCGAGCATTAATTGATGATTCTTGCTCCAACCAGTCTTTACTACGATGGTTACAAAGTGGCGACTTTCCAAGTTCACCTCTCCTTGCCCATTAAGGAAAAGTTTTCCCTTCTTCCCCATTCATTAGTTTATTTATCTAAATCTTAACTTCCTTTCCCTGTCTCCTTAAACCAGTGTGTTCCTCAGAGATGTCAGGGGCCCCTTCAAAGGGAGAGGGGAAAGCTGAGAAGATAGAGCCCCTAGCCCCTCATTCTTCCTGTTTAGTGTATTAAGGATCCATGTAAAATTTTATTTACAAAAAAAGTAGCCTGCTACTTAAAAAACAGTTTGAAACCACAGTCTTGAATAAATGTCTTCTTTCCCAACTTTTAAGTGTGAGTCAAAGAACTCTATGCTGAAAACATTGCAAAAGAGTTTACTCATTTTCTGAATCCATGTACAGATAAGATTTCATGGAAATATAATGCTGAAAGAGACCGTAAAGGCCTTGTTCTCCAGGCTTTTTCCCAAAATGCAGCTAGCAGGACTACAGCTGCGGTCGCAACACTGGAGAGAAAGGAAGTGACGTAACCTCGGTCTTGATGGCTTCCAGCTCCACATGGCAGCATCCCTGCCTTTCAACAGGAAGTGGCGGGGGCGGGGGTGGTGGCCGCAGAGGCTGCTGTGGCTAGGTACTGGAATGAATGGGCCCGTGTACAATGTGTGGGGAAAGGGGGTCACCCTGTTAGGGTGATTGCCTCCCCTTGCTCCCCTGTGAAAAAAGATGGATCCAAAACCTTTTATGAAGGGTTAACTTTGTGGGAGAATGATGCAGAGCCAATTTCTACTTGGCCCACACCACTGCCACTCCTCCATTTCCTCCCCTGTGATCGACATCAGCGTAGGGTCAGGTGGATTCTAGGAGTTCCTATGAATTCTGAACATTGACTAAGGAAGTTTCTCGAATGGCATAACTGCCTTTACCTTTTAGCAGACTTCAAGTTAGCATGCAAGCTGCTATCAATCTTTAGCTGACTTTTGCTTTGCCTCCTGGGAGGACTGTGTTTTATACTCCTGGTTTCTCCAGTACTGTGAGACATGTACAAAGTGTTCAGTAAGTGCTTGATGACTCATAGCAGTATCATTGTCTGTTTTGCTTCTTTTATAATTTTTATGAAGGGCTGCTATGTAGCAGTGCTGTACCAGACACAGTAGGTGAGTTGGGGGGAGAGGATAGATATATAGATAAATCGATCATTGATTCCGTCGTTGAATCCTCACACAACAACTGTTTGTTCAACAAATATTTCCTGTGTGCCTTCCATGTGCCCCACACTGCGCTAGGCCCTGGGTATACACTGGTGAGCCTGACATGAGTAAGACTCCTTGTGGAGTTCATGTTCCCTTAGGCAGAGGCAGACAGTCAAGAAGCAGAAAGTTCATTTCAGAGAGCAGTAAGTGTGATGAAGAAAAGAAAAGAAATCCTGAGGAGGGCCACCTCTACCTTGGATAGGCAGGGAGGGCCCTCTAAAGTGGTGATGTCTGAGTTCAGATCTAATAGTGGCAAGGAGTGTACCCTGAGCTGCTGGGAGAAGGGCAGATTGGGAGAGTTGCTTCCTAAGAGGCAGGTCCTAACCTTGCTGCACCTGATTTTGGCTTTCTCAGCTTCCAGTTTCTCCCATTTCTCATCTCGTCTCCTCTTCCTCCCTTGCCATTATATTATTTATTCCTTAACCCAGATTTGGATCTGAGAATTTGGCCAAGGATCCTACAGTACTCATTTCATTGAGGTTGGCTTCTTTTTACTGAAAAACTTAGGACACAATACTTGGCACATCCTCTCCATAGGGAACTGATTCCAACTCTGTGCAGTCCCTAGTTTATGAATGAGACATTTTCCAAAAAGCATTCTATATGCCAGTTGTTTAGAACTGGGAACATATTTTTCCACTAAGACAACATTATATGATGCTCCTAAGCCAGAACACTGTATAATTAATGGTTACCTACTCCATAATAGAATGAAATTAGAGTAGAATAGTGAGGATAGGGAAGGATCTAGGCCCTGCAGGTAGATGCCTTTCATAGGTATGAGACCCGCCCCAGGCCATGTGTTGAAAGGCAAGCCTTTCCTCCTCTCTTTCCTAGACTTCTGAGAACCCATTATCCTTGAACTGATTGGATTCTATCCTGTCGCCAAACCTCCCAAGCCCCCAGAATATTCTAAACTACAAATTACCCACCAATCTCATTTTTATTTACAACTTTGACATTTATTTTCCACTTGAGAGAGAATACGTTGCTCCTAACCTGTGTAGGTTAGCTTTTCTCCCTGGAAGGGAGTAGGGCTGGGGAGACAGGAAACAGCATCTCTCCATGTTATTAGACAAGTTCCTGCCAGTAGTTACTAGCAGAGGCAAGATCTGTCTGTATTAGTAGTAGTAATAATAACCCCTTATGTTTTATATAGTATTTAAGGATCATTTTGACTGCCTTGGGGGTCAGTATTGATGACATTGTTGTAAATGATGGTGAGAAAGGAGTAGGTGGAAGATGAGAGCCGGCAAAATTGGGGAGGAGAAAGCTTTCTAATCCTTCAGTTATTCTTAGAAGTCAGCATTTAAGTAAACAGAAAGGAAAACCAAATGAGCTTTAAAGGGTCACCTTGACCTTTCTCATGTAAGTACAAACCATTAAAATGACTAATTTTACATAATGATCCTGGTTTAACATTTATCAAATGAATCAGCGTCCCATACCTCATGAAGAATTAAAGCTATAATTTCTGCTCTAAAGAACTTCACATTAATAAACATGCAGTCATAGTGAGTCAGTGATAGACTTAAAAAACAACACGTATAGAAAAGGCAGGGAGTGTGAAAGAACACGGCTTGCTTAGGGAATCAGGAGTAGATTGATGTGACTGAAGTCCATGGCTCATGGCAGGAGAAAATAGCACTTATTGTTATGTGCCAGGAACAACTCTCAATACTTTTGATCTAATAACTAGTTTAATCCTCACAGTCCTCCTTTGATTTGCATGCTGCTTTATTGCTGCATTTTAAGATGGGAAAACGGAGGCCCAAATCTGTCTGGTGGGTTCGTGGGTGGTAGAGCTGGAACTGTAGCCCACGCTCTTCACCATTTAATTTCACTACCTCTCAGGTATTTTGGACAAGAGGTTAGGCCCTGGCCAGGCCAGACAAGGCATTGAATACAAAGTTAAATTTGACATCCCGTACACAACTAGGAGCCACGGGAGGTTTCAAGCATTGCGAGATGGCATGAAATTTGTTGCTGTAGAAAGATCATTTTGCCAGCACTGTGCAGGAGGGAGGGAGACTAAAAACGGAGAAGTCTTACTCACTGAGCAAATAAGGACGAGCGTCTCCTATGCCAAGCACTCTTTAACCTCTGGATGAAGGAGGTAAATCAGGCAGGCATCATCCCTGCCGTTGTGGGGCTTTCATTCCAGTTGAAAAGTCAGCAAACTTGTGGCAGCGTTCAAACGGGAGGAAGACAAACATGGTTTATGTTAATGTAACCAGGGAAGGCTTCGGTGGGAGGTGACATTTGAACTGAGCACCAATGGTAAGGACCCACGAGGAGAGCCCACATGAGAGCTGTCTAGGCAGAGAGGAGTCTAGTTAGGCTGTACCCGTGTCTGGTCCGCCTCGAACCCTTGGCCTCTGGAACAGTTCTGTGGCACAAAGTAGGCACGCTGCCCATCTTTGTTGGCTGGATAGACAGAACGTGAACCAGAGTAGCACCTCAGCGAAGTGCACAAATTCTTATGAGCAGAATTGACATTCAACCCTTAA